GGTAGACCCTCAGGGAATACGCAAGCTTGGCCCTCAGCTGAAGTGAACACCATTCGGAGGCTAATGCTGTCAGCAACCCCCTCACATTCAACACACACCACGGGACACCTAGGTGGTCTTGGTGCTGGGCTGCCCCTTCCTAAGAACCATAAGCAGGACCAGACAGTGGCAGGGTGGTTAAAGCAGGTGGATCCCACGGGGCAACTGCACAGTTCAAGTCCCAGATTCAGAGGCTTAAAAAACATGTCAGGTGTGTGTGTGCATGTTGTGTGTGTGTATGTCCAAAATCCCAAGAGAAGAATGGAGAAGGGATTGCAGCATGGCCATCTCCCCTGGGAGGGCTTGCTTTCTCACTTTCCCTCTCTCTCTGTCTCTCTTGGGCAAGTGCACATGCTCTACGGCAATTTTTTTTTAAAGAATTCTTTATTTAATTTTATTTACTCATTCATTTATTATCATTTGATCAGAGAAAGACACACAGAAAAAAGCAAAGCAAAAGAACAAGCCACCAAGTCTGGGACTCGAACCGTGGTTGGCCATGTGGGAGTGTCCACGGCTTTCACCACCACGCCACCTGCTGACCCTACCTATGGCAATTTTTTAAAAAGCAAATCACAAACTTACAGTATCCTTAAAGACAAATAACAAGATGTCGGAAGACTGGATATTGTTTTCTTAATGAAGGTGTCAGATGTAATCAATAAATAAAGTATACATTTTGCAAAACCAGGAATCTGCAGAGACCAAAAGACTACTATTTTTCTAAACACGAGGTTATCAGGGTTAGACTGGCATTTCGTCTTCCTCATGCCCTTTTAAATGGCCTTCAGAAATAGAGACTGTACTTTTGATTTCCTTTTTTTTTTTAAGAATTATTTATATTTTATTTATTACTATTATCCTCCCATTTGACAAGAGAGCACCAGAGAGAGAAAGCAAACTGCCAGGCCTGGGACTCGAACCACAGTCAGCCATGTAGAAGTCCAGCGCCCAGAACCATTTACCACCTGCCGCCCCCTGTTCTTTTCATTTCTAAAATGTCGACTCTGTCTGACCACCTCTACTCGAGTAACACAAGCCATCTACATCTGAACAAATCCACAAGTCGTTTTTTTTTGTTTTTTGTTTTTTTTTTGAGAGGTTTTTGCTATAGGGCACGTGCGCTCGCCAGACAGACAGAGAGAGACAGAGAGACAGAAAGCGAGAAATCACCCCCCAGGGGGAATGGTCACGCCGCAATCTCTTCTCCTCCATTCTCCTCTCAGGATCTAGGGCACGCACGCCCACGAGCCCGGCGTGAGTTTTAAGCCACCGGGTCCGGGATGCGAACCGCGGTCGACTACGTGGAAGTCCAGCGACGTAGCCATTACGCTAACTGCTGGTTCCTTCCACAAGTCATTTTACAAAAACTAAGTTCCTATGACACAACAAAGACTCACAAAACAAGTCTTATATATGTTACATAAACTGGGCTGTGATTTTTTTTTTCAGACACTAGAAGAAAGGCAAAGGGTAGGAACCCGCTTCAAGGGCTTGTGCCTTTTGTAATCAGTTTATTTTTGGTTGTACCAAGAGATGGTATCGAGACCTCATTCGAATCAATAGCTATTACAGTGCGCTAGGTGTATCTGAATTGCAAAACGGAGGACGAGCCTCCCATTCCCACAGTGGTCAGTCTGCAACCCGCCCCCAGCAGTCCAAGGACACTGGTCATCTCTCCTGGCAAATCCCACACTTGCTAACACGCTCAAAACTCACCCGTTTCTTGGCTACTTCCTCCAACCACCTTCTCCCTCTCTACTTGCACAGGCAAATCCCTCCCCCTCGTTTTTTTTTTTTTCAGAGCAAAAGTTAAGCGATTCGTTAAAGGAGGGCATTTACTGATTGCAAAGGGAAGATTCTCTTTCCATCCTCCCACCTCCTCTACCCTGTGGAGACCATGACTGAATAGAAGGAAAAGCAACCAGGGGAGGAGAAACACCCAGAAATCCAGCTAAGGCCATGGCAGGAGTGTCACTGGCCAGAGGAGACAGGACCACACACGCGGAGGCAGGTGTAGTCCCTGAGCCTCCACAGCGCGCCCATGCTTCCAGCAACTCCAGGTAGGACTGAAACAATTACTTAGCATTTCTTTTGGGTTTTTTTGTAGGATTTTTTTGAGGTTTTTGCCATAGGGGCGTGCATTCACCAGAAAGAAACAGAGAAAGAGGGAAAATAGGAACTCCCTGCCCCCAGGGAGAATGGCTACATCATAATTCCGTCTCCATTCCCCTCTAGGGATTTGGGTACTCAAGCGCACCTGGTGTGTTTTTCAAGCTGCCGGGTCCAGGACGACGCAAACCACAGAGTCAGTTACCTGCCCCACCGCGCCATCTGCTGACCCCAATTGCTTATCATTCCTACAGGAGTTCGCTGGAAGTTCCAAAGGCTCTTACCTTGTAACCCAAGTCACCCCTGCAATGCCATCACTGAAAATCTATCCAGTTGTTCGCCAAAGCAACGACTCTGGCAGGTGGTGTGGTGGTTAAGGGCACTGAACTCCCACATGCCCGACAGTGGTTCGAGTGCCAAACCTGGTAACTTGCTTCCTCACTCCCCCTCACACACACTCTCTGGTAAAATTAAAATAACTAACTCACTAAATAAAGTCAAATAAAATAATAAAAAAATTTTTTTTAATTTTTTTAAAAAAGAAAAGCAAATTAAACTAGAAAATCAACATCAGAAGACACAGAGACCACTCCCAAAGGGAAAACTCTCTCTCCCAACTAGGCCCCTAAGGGAAATGTTCCAGTATAACCTTTAACTTGAGATCAGAATGACAGGCACTTCAGGCTGCATTTGATGTCTTCCTCGTCACTTCTCAAAAAGTTTAACCCAAAAACCCTGGTGCATACAAAATGTCTCCTTGTTCTAAATCTTACCAATCCCTAACGTAGACCCTTTCCAGCCTAAGTTTTTTCCAAGATTACGTGCCATCAAGCATAACCCAACCCCATGTAGCATGCGAGCCTGCGTTTGAAATGAAGAAAAATCTCCCTTTCTTTGCCAAGCACTCATACCTACTCACCTGCCCTTTCCTGAAAAATCAACGGAGGAGCGCTGAGATGTGGAGACAGGGGTCTCTCTGAATAGGCAGATATTGGGTCGTCAGAAAAATCAGCGCCTTTTTACACAGAAACGTATGTCAGGACTTCTCCGCCCACCCAAGCCTTTCCTCCAGCAGGTTGTCCTGCAGGAAAATGTTATCTCCTTTCGTCTAATCTTTTAAAAAATCAATACCCAGAACAGGTTGGATTACTAGTGAAGCACCACGGGGACCATCTAATCTGAGTGCTCTTATCATGCGAGGTAAAAAATGCGGCTGTCCTAAGCACTAGATGTAACCAGTGTCCAGAACACCTGTCTGAAGGCAGGCAGCGTCCTCATGTGCTATCTGTTTCATTCTGGGCAGACCTTTCCAGAACTTAGTCTAGAGCAGTATAGTGAGGAATCAATCATAAATACGTTGACTATTCAAACTGGAGAGACTGGGGGATCAGCAGTTAGCATAATGGCTATGACGCTGGACTCCCACGTAGTCAACCGCGGTTCGCATCCCGGACCCGGTGGCTTAAAAATTCACGCCGGGCGCGTGTGCGTGCGTGCCCAAGATCCCGAGAGGAGAATGGAGGAGAAGGGATTGCGGCGTGGCCATCTTCCCTGGTGGGGGTGATTTCTCGCTTTCTGTCTCTCTGCCTCTCTCTGTCTGCCTGGCGAGCGCATGCGCCTATAGCAAAAACCTCTAAAAAAAACCCCAAACTGGAGAGACTGACAAGTTGATGCTCAATTCTCATTCCTACCACCTTCTGAAGAGGCTAGTGACGTTCTGCAGTAGGCTGATTTCTTCTCTCTCTTTTTTTTTTTTTTTTGGAGAGGTTTTTGCTATAGGGCGCGTGCGCTCGCCAGACAGACAGAGAGAGACATAGAGACAGAAAGCGAGAAATCATCCCCCAGGAGGGATGGCCACACCGCAATCCCTTCTCCTCCATTCTCCTCTCGGGATCTTGGGCATGCACGCACACACGCCCGGCGTGAGATTTAAGCCACCGGGTCCAAGACACGAACCGCGGTGGACTATGTGGGAGTCCAGCGACATAGCCATTACGCTAACTGCTGGTTCCCTAGGCTGATTTCTTCATGGGACAAATACAGAGGGTTCATCATGAAAGGAGGCGATTGTGAAATGTCTAATTCTCCCTTCTCCTGGCACGCCAAAATGAAGTTAAAGCGGCCAATGGTGTGTGTGTCAGAAGAACATGAAGGGAGAGGGAGGTTAGAAAAAGACAACAACCCCAGCTCTCCGAGTTTTCCCCTCCTCCTGGTTTCCTTTCAGACTGGGTTGGGTGCGGATCCCCCCCAAACTCCAGATCATCCGTCTGACAAAGGGATTGTTTTCATCAATAACAACACCAACTCGCGAAAACTGCCCACTTAATTCTCTCCGTTTCGTCCTGCGCTTGGTCTACCAGGTTTGTTTTAGGCCAGCGACAACTTTGTCACCTCTTAGACTGGGCACCTCCAATTCTCAAACCCTCCGGGCCTGTCAACCTTTTGAGCTCAAAACGGAGGCACCTCCTTCGAGATGTGCTATCAAACCTCTGGCCACTCTCCCCTAAAAAAATCAGAGTAATGGGACCAGCAGTTAGCGTAATGGCTATGTCGCTGGACTCCCAGGTAGTCGACCGTGGTTCAAGTCCCAGATCCGGCGGCTTAAATTCACCCCAGGCACCTGTGCATGCATGCC